ATTAGCATTTGCATTTGCATTTGCATGGCAAGAATAAGATAGAAGCCAGTTATGGTTGATGCTATCTGTGGTTTCTTGGGTTTCTTGATAGGTAGTAGGTAGTATGCTGTTATGTCGTCATTCTATGGAGTTAGAAAGTGCTTAGTGAAAGAAAGGAATTACTTTACTAAATTGATGATTTCCTAGTTCATCAAGTATAGTATTAAAATATATTTTCACTTGATCTATTTGCAATTGAAATTGATTAGGATGAACATTATTTTGACTAGGTTGAGACTGAAAGCTATTTCTATTATTTTGAAAATGGTTTTGATCATAAATGAGTTGATTAGGTTGAGAAAAATCATTATTATTTTGTTGAATGCTTTGAATATGCTGGAGATTATTATTTGGTAATTGATTAGATTGTGGAAAATCATTAAATTGATTGGATTGAGGCAGTTGAAGATTATTAGATTGAGAGCAAAAATTATTATTTTGAATATGGTGTCGAACAAGTTGAAAGTGATCAAAAATAATTTGATTGGATTGAATACGTTGAATAGGCTGAGGATTATTATTTGGAATATGATTGACTGGTTGATTAGGTTGTAAAAGATCATAAAATTCAGGCTGTTAAAGATTATTAGCTTAAGGGCAGAAATTATTATTTTGAATATAGTGTTGAATAAGTTGAGAGTGATCAAAATTAATTTGATTGGGTTGAATATTATTAGCCAGAGTCGCATGATTTTGAAGGTGCACATTATTATTATCCCATCTCTGAATATTATTATGAGTCACTTGGTGATTCAGTCTATTGGCTTGACACGCTCTTTGGTGATTTAGTCTATTGGCTTGACATGCTTGATTTTGATGATGTTTTATGTCCAAACTTGATTCTTCAATCTCAGTGATTTGATTGCTCATAGAAATTAGCATTACATGTACATACAAACAATAATCTTGACATACAGTATACTCTTCAGGATACTGATGAGGTTTATGTAGCATTTTTTTTTAGACAGAATAAAATTTGGTGATTTTTATTTGGAAAAATGTAGGATGTTGAAATCTTATATAAAATTTTAACGTGTAATTTCTTCTAAAGAAATGTCTTTCAATAAACATACTATGTATGACAAAAATATAAAATTAACTCTTTTAAAGTCAGTTAATAAACTTTAAAGAAA